CACCCGGGTTTAAAAAGATATCCTACCTCATTATACAAAACCTTCCCAACTCGGTTAACCTTTACAATCCGATTTTTGACAGTGGCTGCTATCCGAAATTTTGGAAAACTGCATGCATTGTTCCTATATTAAAGCCCAAAAAACTGCCCACTGAGGCAAGCAACTATAGGCCGATCTCCCTTTTGCCTTGTTAGGAAAGCTACTAGAAAAAATTGTACTCAATCGCCTGGCATGGTACGCTAACAGGAAAAAACTTATTAGCCCTAATCAAGTCGCTTATAAGAAAGGATTTGGAACCATTGATGCTCTTTTACACCTAGACTATTTTAAAGCAAACGCCTTATCCGCCAAAAATCACGTCACCTTACTTGCAATAGATTTTCAAAAAGCATTTGACCGGATCGGCATCCCCATTGTTTTAAGACAGCTTATCAAAATCTTTCTCTGCCACAGGAAATGTAAGGTCAGAATCAACGGCTTCCTCTCCAACACAGTCCCTCTTGAAAACGGTACCCCTCAAGGGTCGCCCATATAGGTATTCCTCTTTATCATATCATTTGATGAAATTGTTCTTCAAACTACCAGCATCCGTGGCATTCAGTGTCAGCTCTACGCTGATGCGTTGTGTTCTACACCAAACACAACAATTTAGCGCATGTGAAGTCACTACTTGAAGGTATTTTAGCCGAACTTACATCTTGGTCAGAATTTGCTGGTATCACAATATCAACAGAAAAAAACAAAAATTTTACATATCTGCAAAAAACGGGTTTGCTGTGACCTAACTAACATCTTTACTAACCTTAATTTAAGTATTGTTCAAGAACTCAAAGTTATTGGTTTAATTATAGACCCTAAATATAGTTTTAAGCAGCACTGTATGTTCGTCAGAGACTCTCTTTTGACAAGGTTAAATATAATAAAATATCTTACGTGTAAGAAAAGTCACGTTCACCCGCACACGCTTATTAAAGTTACCCGAACCTTGGTGCTTTCCAAGATTGATTTCGCGCTTCCTATCTACGGACATTGCCCGGCGTCTACAATCAAAAACCTTTCTACACCTTACCTGTTGCAATACGGAGGAGTATAAGGGCGTTCCCTACTCGCTGAAAAATCTATTCGCAGAAACTGGTCTGCCCGCGATCGCGGACAGAACAACCGATTGCACACGTCATTTGCTTCCTAAACTGAAATTCTCTTCAAATACCGTTCTGGCAAAAGATGCATGCAATGCTACGCCAAGAAAAATACAGCCACGATTCCCACATGCAATTTATCGTTGCTTGAAATTTCTAAAAGAGCTTCAGATCCCCTCAACGCCGAGACCCAAAATATGTGCGACTCGCCCGCACTGGCTGATCAATAACAGCGTGCATACGATCAAAACGCTGCAATTACCAAAGGCAGACTTACCAAAAGAAAAATTTAAGGCAATATTTGCGAAAGAAAAAGCGTTATACAATAGCAACGGATGGAATTTCTCATTCATAGATGGCTCGAAAACTCCCGACAACACTTCTTTTGCAGTAACAAAAGAAAATAGGGATTTATTACGCCATGACATACTACACCATATATGCTCAGTTTTCACTGCAGAACTGACCGCCATTCTCGAAGCAATCGACTATGCTAAACACAACAGAGGCAAGTTTATTATTTGCACTGACAGCAATGCTTGCATTGATGCTATTGAATCTGCCGCTAATCATCAGAATGAAATAGTCATCATCCGCAATACCGTAATAACCAATCCCAGAAAAATAAAGTTAATGTGGACTCCCGGGATAGTCTGGCGACTATCATTTGCTGGCCAAAAGTCGAGAAGTAATTGATTTGATTTCAAGTATAATGTCGGATTTTCGAAGTTCAAAATAGCGGATACAATATGGCGACCAAATTTTATACTTCTTTTCCTTTCACCAAAAACTTATACATACGCGGGGGTTTCAAGATCGCTGATTTCGGATCTGATGTAGGATTTTTGGAATTTAAAATGGCAGATCCAATATGGCGACCAAATTTTATCATTTTTCCTTTTCAGCATAAACTCATATAAATGGGGGGTTTTCGAGGGCGCTGATTTGGAATCTGATAGCAGATTTTACAACGCTTTTATCAACCTGCAATGTTGTGTGTCCAGACACCATTCATTGCTATAAAACCTTTGCTTTGCAAAGATCCTATAAAAAAGCCTAGTGCATAGGGCCATATCTACCTCTCAACCGACGAAGTCGAGAGGTAGATATCGCCCTATGCACTACGTACGCTACAGCGGAAATGGACGACACGCCATTTCTTTAAATGAAATTAATTGATGCTCGTATGTATGCACATGCATATGTATATGCATGTGTGTGCACCAATCTATTAATATCGTTGAATTATTTTAATATCTATTGCAAAATTTTATACAGACAAGACTATAAAGTAGAAAATAAATAATATAAAAAAACTTTTTAATATACAACGCTTTTATAAATGGACTAAAAAGTAGAAAATAATATTTCTCAGTGCCATAGAATTTGTTTTAATAACTTTTGATTTTGAAATTTTAGCAAAAGTTATTATAAACCATTTATGAGATTGAAAATGAAAAGCGTGGGGCGCATGTAATAGACCTGAATTGATATGAAGGGTAATATATGTATGTATGTATGTGGACATATGAATAACGACCGCTTAAAATCGATCTCAAATTTGTACTATCTCTGTAGAAATTTTTGGTCTATGTTATGTAGTTTGACTATTGTCAATTGAATCTAATGCTTTGTATTGCATGCGCCCCACGCTTTTCATTTTCAATCTCATAAATGGTTTACAAACTTTTGCTAAAATTTCTAAATCAAAAGTTATCAAAACAAATTCTATGGGACTGAGAAATACTATTTCCTACTTTTTAGTCCATTTACAAAAGAATTGTATATTAAAAAGTTTTTTTTTATTATTTTTTAAATTCAAAATGGCGGATCCAAATCGCTACCAAATTTTATATTTTTTTTTGTGTTCACCAAAAGTTTATGTATAAGGGGGGTTTTCGAATTCGATGATTTCGAATCTGATTTAAGATTTTTGAAATTGAGAATGGCGGATCCAATATGGCGTTATCGGAAAAAAAGTTTAGCTTAAAAAATTTGTTTAGTTTTTGCTATATATTTTTTTCTAATCATAGCTGCTTCAAATAATAAATAAATAATAATAAAATAAAATAATAAATATTTTTCCTCTAAATATAAGCTTATATTTGTATTTATTTGAAAGGACACTAGCACAACAAATATATTACTAATAACTATGCTAGATATAAAGCTGAAAAAATAAAGTAACGTACAAGTTTAAACGAAACAATGCAAGAATGCATTTTTCACCTACGTGCTTGCATATCATTCATGCTATTTCTTTTATGTATTTCTTCGGATTGGCTCCCTTTAATAATATTTCGCAGCAAAATGTTTAAAACAGCAGTTTTTTGCATCTTTGGTGACTACTGCTTTTCAAACATCGAAAAGAATAGCAAAACACAGTGGAAGTTTTCTAATAAAAAAGCCCATTATTCAAAAAATGCAAAAAAGTGCAACGTGATTCTCAGCCCACAAACTCTAAATTTAACATTTTTATTGCCCACAAAGCTTGAAGACCGCCAAATGAAGCCAATTTTTTATAGCTCTACTTAAAGTGGGAGATTGTTACCCAAATTAGAGTACATTTTGAAAATTAGTTTTATTTTATTTAGGAAGCTATATGTTAGTTTTCTTTTTTATTAATCACTCAAATATTTAGTACCTTCGTTATTCATTTCCATTCTCTTTTTTGAAGTATCTTTCTCAACATTTCGAGCCAGAAGAATACCGACTACGAGAGAAATAAATATGTGAACTTTTAGTAGAAATGTCAACTTTAACAGCTGAAATCTCAGCGGGAAAACTCTTTAAGAAAATCATGAGTATACACTTTTTTTAATCTGGAGAATTGTTTTAGTGAAGCGACAAAAAAAAATCAATTTATCGATACTTTAAAAAATGACTTATGGCCAGCAAATAGTAGCTGCCAGACCATAGTGACACGTAGGGATCACCGGAAATGAAAACGCTGACATCGCAGCCAAAAGTGTTGCCAATATGCCATATTTACATTATGTGCAATTATATAACCAAGAGTGATATCTTAACCGCAGTTGCCAAAGAAAGACACAAAGATTTAATAGACAGCTGGAAAACTTACAGGCACCACTATAATGTTATTAATCCATCTAGAACACGGATAAACCTTGCTCCCGACATCCCTCTTCCAATGACAAAACCTTTCATCCGCCTACATCTTGGACACACCATTATAACACATGGTCATATCCTTCAATTAAGCACATCTTAGTAGAATGTCAAATTATCGATACTATCCTACATGATATCCTGAGAGGTTCAACAACTGGTAACATTAATAAGCTAAACAAATTTCTGAAAGTCACCGATTTGTGGAGACGCATATAAGAGCAGTAGCTAAACAAATATTAACCTTATTACTAATATAGAGACAGCCGAAAGCCTTTGTCGCTAGTGCTGCTAAGTAATTATTTGTTGCATAATTTATTATTGTATAAATATTATAATGTCTTTATGTCTTATGATATGTAATCAGCGGCCCCACGAACTATCTAGTAGATACGAAGTGGTGTACAAATCCATCACGCGAATCTGTTAAAATAGTTTTTTTGTCCCGCTAGATTCTCTATTCAGACCACGGCATCAAAATTTACAGTTCAAATTTGTATCATGTGCTCAAAACATTTATCCCCCACAACAAAAAATACGAGGGGGTGACTGGTTTAAAAAAAATCCCCTCATATATTTTTTAATTGTTCTTGTGTACATACATATGAATTGATGGTATCATATATAAATATGTGTAATATGATCCAATATTAAACGATATAATTAGCTCAGATTACCAAAATGCTGTTGAAAAAGTCTTCAATAATTATATTTTGATTATTCCCGAATTAGATCGGAATGAAACTCAATGGACGTGCAAAAAGTGTACATTGGTAAACGATCCAACCGCAGTCGCCTGCGCAGTGTGTGGAGGTTCAAAGTTGCGAAGTATTTGCTCAGTTGAGGACATGACTTTAAGAAAAGGTGAATTTTGGACCTGCAGCCAGTGTACTCTAAAAAACTACCTTTCTACCGGAGTATGTAGCGCTTGTAAATCCGTACGATCGCTACCCATTGACACCAAAAGAGTGCAGCTTAATGAGCTCAATACTGAAGGTGAGTTGATGTTTTAAAGCAGAGCTGCTAAAATTTTTTATATTGAAGTGCAAATCACAATACATATAGGCGATTCCACCGTCACGGGTTCTTTATTGTTTAAATTTAAGTATAAAATACTGAACAATTCTGCATTTTGATAAAGCTACACCTAATTGACTATTATATGAGTTATTACAAAATACGAAAAAAATGCCAGCTTACTTTTATATGGCAAAAATCTGAGTTATTTCTTCTGTCACGGGGGGGGACAAAAAAAAAAGAACCTGCTTTTGGGAGCAGATATGAGTAGTCCACTTGCAAACAGCGTTATGTGATTTTATAATAGAAAGCCATAAATTTAAAAAAACGTGTACACCAATAAGTAAAATCCAAATTGTATCTTTTTTTTATTATCTGAAAACTTGGATAAATAAGAGTCTAATAACACTAAAAAACAAAACCGCAGTGTGGTAGTTTTTGCAAATTTTATATATAAAAAAATTAATATAGCGGGTTTTGAAACAGTAACTGTTACATAGCTAGCTTTTTTTAGCTTTTCGCGTTCTCTCTTCCATGAAGATTGGTCTACTTCTTTTTTACGACGTCTTCAAATAGGCACCGAAACTACCACGTTTTCTTGCAGTTTTCTAAGTTCATCAGAAGATGGAGACTTTCGAACTTGTATAAATACATACATAAATATTATAGCGACTTTTGAAAGTGTATATATACATACAGTAAGTATTATAGCGACTGTTGCTCGAGTAGCTAACATTTGATGCTATTTTTTTCAGAATATATAAGGATTTTGCACTGTATTATTAGTGGTCATGAAACTACTTTAAATACTGGTACGTTAACCACCAAAAACTAAAAAACGAAAAAATTTTACATAGAGCACTTTGCAAGTGGACTACTCATATATTTTACGAAAACTCTGCGAATTTATTTCACTTTACTGTATGAGCTTGATGTCTTATAATAAAACAAAGAACCACGAATGCAAACAAAGCAAAAACTACAACAAAAAGGATGGCTTTATTATAAAAAAATCCGAAATTTTTCTGTCACGAGCAGTGTTGCCAGGTCTTCGGCATGAGAAAACGTCCCCCTTGGTCTGAAAAAACGTAATTTCCTACGCAAAAACGTCTTTTTCAAATGTTTGCACAAAGAATTGTTCTTATTCAACTTTTATTGTGTACAAAGGTACATACATATGTACGTAAGGCATATTAAAATGTCATTTGCTCTGTCACATTTAAAATTCATTCTAAACTGGTTTGAGATCATTAACATAAAAATCATTTTATACATACACTTGTGATCAGCTGATTAAGTCATCGATTTTGGCTGTTCCTTTTTTGTTTATTTAATGTTTATTATGATTCCATAAAAGCCTAGCTCATTATATAACAAACCAAATATAAATCCAAAGCCAAACTTTGTGCAAAAATTATAAAAAAATATGCAAAATTTCACCTAGATTTTCAACTTTTTATTTGGATTTTTTATAATTTTTTTGAGTATGCAGGTTGATAGCCCATTAAATTCCAGGGCAAGTTTTATTGAATTTTTTTTTCTTGTAGACATTTGGTTAAGTGGTCGGTTGTCGAAAATGCTAAATTACGTTCTGTTAAGAAAGAACATAGCAATATTTCATCCTTTTTACGTTCTTTACATTTTCAATAAGAGGCCCCATGCGACTAATTGTGTCATTTTCTTTATGCGCTTAAATAAGGGTTAAGTCATTTGTGTCCAAACGATAAATATTTTTTGAAGCAGCTGCTGCAAAAAACAAAGCTTGTAAAGATTTATTAAGAAAATAATTCAGTTCTACTTACAAGATTTAGTAACAGAGAAAAAATAACTGGGAATTTAAAAAACGTCATTTTTTGACATAAAAACGTCCAAACGTCAACAGGATACAAAAAACGTCCAAATGACGATAAAAAGTCAACCTGGCAACGCTGGTCACGAGTGGGACACGAACAAATTTTTACATGAAAAGGAGCTTTTAGTGTCGTCCATATTAAAGATTAGTTATTAAAAAATATAGAAGCCAAGTAGGGGTTCAATTCACTCACGTTTTATCTTAGTATAGTGCCTTTTATATAGAAGAAAAAGCCTAGCACCGTCAGCTAAAAAATCGCGCTAAAAAATCAACGCGATCTCCTAGCGTCTTGAAATTTTCACTTTTTCCTACTTAAATTTAATACGCTATAAAACTGCATACATAGAATTTTTCTAAAATTTATGAACAAAAAGTTTAAAATTTTTGGGTGTAACTGTTAAAATTTGTTGAAATTTATAATTTGTGTACGAAGTTTGAAATGTGGTGTTATGTGGTTCTGGTTATATAATGTGCTAGACTTTTATAAAAAATACCATGAACATTAAATAAACAAAAGATAAAACCTAAACTGGTTAAAATGTCACTTAACTTAATCAGCTGACCACAAGGGTATATTGGTAATGGGCGAGTCCGCGCTTCCGCCCGTCTCCCATGCGTCCACCTCAACAAACCAGTAAAGCTTATCAGTCCTGTAAACCTACCTTTGGCAACTGTACCACTGTACCGTAGCTGTCACGGGTGGGACATGCTTGACTGTTGAATTATTCTTATCTAACTATGTGGAAACGAAAATGCAATTGTGGTAAACATTGACAATGAAGTTCTAACATTATGTAACAAACCCGAAACTCAACTTCTTTAAGTAAATATAACAACTTTTACCTTTTTTGTCACGGGTGGGACATGCTTGACTGTTGAATTATTCTTATCTAACTATGTGGAAACGAAAATGCAATTGTGGTAAACATTGACAATGAAGTTCTAACATTATGTAACAAACCCGAAACTCAACTTCTTTAAGTAAATATAACAACTTTTACCTTTTTTGTCACGGGTGGGACAAGACCAATACTGCTTAATAATAACTCATGATATAGATAAAGCACTCACACAATCTATATATATAAATGTGAATGTCTGTTTGATTACCTTATAACTTTTGAACCACGGCACGGAATCGCACGAAACTTCGCACACTTATTTGTTTTTACCACGGGAAGGTTATAGGTGTGGTTTTATTTGTAAATATGGTGTAAATTTTGCGAGGGGGCGTGGTACCTCCCATAGGCTTGCAAATTTTTAATCAGCTATAACTTCGGAACCATAAGTCACATGAACTTGAAATTTACTATGCAAACATATCTATGGTAGGTGCTTATAGTAAGGTATATATAAATGAGTTTGTAAATGGGGGCGTGGCACATAATATAGGCGTGGAATTTTTTATCAGCCATAACTTCGTAACCACAAGTCACATGACCCCTTTAATTCCTTATGATATGCCTTTCGAATTTAAAAGACTTCAGTTTCCAGTTCACTTAGCTTTGCAATGACAATCAACAAGAATACCTGAAAGTAAAACCCAAAACTTTATCGAAAATAATGTACGCCATGACGAAAAAATTACATTGGAAAATGCATTTATGTTAATAGATGCTTTGAACTATCAAAAACATGCTGTGAAAAAATATTAGAGTTATTATTCGTAAGAAATTGGATAGTTAAAATTTAAATATTATAACATTGGTATTTCTTCTACTATATAATTTATTAGAGATATTTAACCTAAATAAAAACACCTGCTGTACCAAAAAAATTATTATTGCATTTCATTCCATAACACCCAAGCTATGCAACTGTCCTACCATATTCTGCTATCACGGATGTAGTAAAATTAGAGCAAAAATAAAATATAATATCTTTACACAAAGTATTTTTCATATCAATTATATAAATAGGCAATCATGTTTCCTTTACACCCCTTTTTCGGCTAAACTATACTTCTAAGGTATAAACAATTATATATCATTAGAAAGGTATTTTGATGCTGGTGTGCAGGCCTTTTTTTAAAATTTCAAATTAGTTTAAAATAGAGCGAAAAATTCAATTAAAATGTCACACCAATACCAATGCCATACATGTACATGGTTAGGGCGGAAATGCCCCCTAAATGTATGCTTTAATATTGATAGTGAATTAAAGAAACATGCGAAGCAGCAGTTTAGGAATAAGATGTATGTATGTACGTACATGAATAGATTAGACTCAAACAAGGAAGAAGGTAAAGTTGAGTATGGAGAAGAAGAAAGGGATAAATACAGAAATTAAAATAAAAGTAAAGAAACCTAACTATAAAGACAAAGAGGAAGGAAAATATAAATACCTAACCTAATAACAAGGGTGGGGGTTAAAGTGGTCCAAAAATGTATGTAAAAAAAATGAGGTCGGATTTTTAATGCCGCCACCCCCTAGGATTGTACCCATATTTTTTTATTTTGAAATCAAAAAATATTTAGGGAGTGCTGAAAGCGCTCAAAGTTTTCCGTGTATTTTATATGGAGAAAAAACAATTTTTCGTAGAAATGGTATAAAACTCTTGAAAATAAATATTTTTCGACCGTAAAACTGTGGTTCTCTTCAGGAGACTTCCAGTATTAATATCCAATTGTTTATTTAAGCATTTTTTATGATTAAAGATTTTTTATTGGTTTCCCATTGCATTTTCTAAGGACTTTGGAGGACCTATAAAATATAATTACCATGAAAAAATTGTTAAAGAAACAATTGAGTATTATTACTGGGAATCTCCTGAAGATAAGTAAAGTTTTCCGATCGAAAAATATTGATTTTCAAGAATTCTACACTATTTCTACGAAAAGATGTTTTTTTCTCCATTTAAAATACATGGAAAACTTTGAGCGCTTTGAGCACTCCCTAAATATTTTTTGATTTCAAAATAAAAAATAGGGGTACATTTTTTTTCGATATAGAACAATCCTAGGGTGTGCCGGCATTAAAACTCCGACTTTATTTTTTTGGACCACTCTAGTGGGGGTGAATATGTAAATGAAGAAAAGAATGAACATATTTAGATCACGATAAAGGAAAAGATAAAGATAAGGATGAAGAAGAAGATGAAGACCAAGACGAGGAAGAAGATGAAGAT